TCCTCAGCTTGATAAAATATTTATAATGTTGAACATTTCTTTAAGATTAAAACGTTGTAACAATGTTCACATTAATATTTTAAATCTAAAAATGAAACTCAGTTTTGCAAACATGGTTTTGTTATCTTAATCTCTATTAAGTTTCCAGTCTTGGAATGTTTTACAAATAATTTAATGATTCAGTTTTCCTGATTTCTTGAAATTTCATGATATTGTACTCATACAACGAAACTTAGAATCATCCTAGGGGCCCTTAAACTTGTTTGCGATCTCATTTCTCAAAAATCTAATTTTATTTTTGTATTACGCAAGCTAAACATTTTTCATACAACACTCGTAAAATTGGAATTTGAGATTCACGCTTTTATTATAAATCTACAACTTTGTTCATAAATGATAAATATTACATCGTTCAAATTGATTTTTTTAAACTCTTTCGTATTTTTTATAAAGAAAGAAATTGTTTGAATTTTAATAAATTTTGAAAAAGCCAAAATCCTATTCTGTGATTCAAATAAAGTTTTCATTTGGATGCAAAAATGTATTTTTATTGTAAAAAGTCTATTTTCTGGCTCAAAAAGTTTCGAGAAAGATAAAAATTGATAATTCCAATTCAAAATTAAATAAAATTTATAAACCTATCTGCGGGCAATAAATTTAAAATATCTGAATTGAGTTTTTTTCCGATGTTACCAAGTATCATAATAAAACAATACATTCGTATATATAAATGTTGTCTATAGCTGGCCGAACTGCTGGACCGAATGGGCTGAATTTTTTTGTGAACCTCATGGGTGGCCGAGGGAAATTATAGGCTAAAAATTGAAATTTTTTAAAAATATTTTTTTTTTCTACGGGCAACGCCGGGCCCTTCAGCTAGTTTTAAATAAAGTAAGAAAATGTTATATTTATTTGAAGAGTCAATTAATTATGAAAAATTACTTGTACTATTTTATTTTCATTTTTTCCACAAGTAAATCAAATGAACTGAGGCTTTTTTATATTTTTCATCTCGAAAAATCTGAGTTGGTTTATTAGTTAGGGTTAGGCTTTAAGAACCTAAGTATTTTAACATATTTAACTTTCTTATACAGTCATAATCAGATAGACCCGGAATTTATTGACAATCAGAAACCTTTACACATATATATATATACAATGTTAAATGCTCAGACCTATGTTCAAAATGGCAGGTCAAAAAAATAGAAAAAATGTATTTGTTAAATTTTTGTTTGTCTCTGCTAAATAAAAGCTTGCAAAAGAGCAACGCTAAAATAGAAATTCGCAAACATTGCAAACTACTTACATACATGCAAAATACAATCAAAAACAAACAAACAAACCATGGACAAGCCAAATATGTTTGTAGAAAGAAAAAAGAATTTTTTAATGGTTCAGTCGGTACTTGATTCCAATTGAGGGTTATGTCAAAGGACCCTCTATACTACCTGAAAACTGAACTATTCCTACCTTTAATAAAAACACTTGCTGAAGTGCCGATGGATTTTTTTTAAATAATTTTTTTTTAATTTACATTTAAAAAAAATTGATTTTTAAGCCTGTTTAACCCCCCGGGGATACATCCTGCAGTTTAACATGGACTGTCTGAAATCATACGCTTAACTTCGCAAATACAGCATAGAAGAAATAAAGTAAATTCCATTTTGGATTATTCAAATTTACTTGGTTGAAACTGTTTAGAACATAAACTAAACTAAATTAAGATAGTTTAATAAGGCTTATATATCCCGAAGGTGCAGTACAGTTTAATTTATTTCTTATTTCTATATTAACAATTTCAAAAAACATAAACACCATTGTTTTATAAGAAAAATCAACTACTGTTTAAAGATTTATTGTATCATTATTTATTATATATGTCCAACAAAAGTAAATTTTTTGAACTTATTTTAAGAAGATTTATATTATATATTAAAACAATATTGACAAAATAGCTTTTTTAAAATTAAATCCAGCTACTTTTCTTAGTGAAGTACATTGAGTCCTTTTAAAGGGACAGACCGGCAATGTAATGTAGTTGAACTGAGTATGCAAGGTCGTGGAAAGCTTCTTTAGGATTCATTTAAAACATATAAAACTTTTTATAGATCCTGAGTTTGAGCACAAATCCGACGTTCAAAACTCCTACTTTGGGGTTGGATATGTTAATGACGATCAAGCATGATATCAAATATTCCTATTTATAAATACTTGATCTTTAAATCAATTTACTATTAAATATCTTTTACGATTTTGGAATTTTGAGCTAAGCTGAAGACTGGGTGTCGTTGAAATTACATTACATTTTAAACCTTTATCTGATCAATACTGTTGAAGATATCGTCGTTTTCCCATCTTAAAAAGTGTTGAATTCTATAAATTACATTCTAGGATTCTTCTGCATAAAATCCGCAATTAAAAAATCATTAATTTTTAGGTAGAAAAACAAACATGTTTTCATCGTCAAAGCTCAGACAAATATCAAAAAATATCATGGCTCCTCTTTAAATGGAATGTCACTTGAAATTACGCTTACAGCCCTTTAAATTGTCATGTTTAAGGGAGAACACTGTAAGAATCCAATTTAAAAAGCTATACTTTCCGTACAGTTTATATTTTAATACAGAGAAAAAAAAATTGCCAGAAAAGTTTTTATTAAACCTGGGGGAATAATTGCAGAGAACATCGTACCTTAGATATAGATCACTAAAAAACCTCATCAGATTGATTTTTTAAATTTATCCAAAAGCTGCATGCTGTAAAATTACTGTAAACAAAATGGTAGTCGCTTCTTGTTTTTTTTTTTGTTGGTAAACAAATACTTTCCTTTAAATACCAACTCCTTTTTCTTTTAAGAATATTAAACCAAAAATGTTTGTATCTAATTTCTAAATAGCTCTTCAGAACGAGGAGCTATGATTTCAAACATGTAAGATATTAAACCAACATTGAAAATACTTAAATTTAACGCAATGCAATATTAGGATGCTTATAATGACAAATACGACATTTGAGGTAAAAATTTTAATTATAAACTGACAAAGTGACCTGCACAAGAAAATGTTTAACTATCTATCTATCTATCTATGTTGAAAATAATGCTTGTTTGTCTGTTTGAAATAAACGTCAGCTGCAAATCTAAATTGATAAAATTTTGTGCGGGGCCTCACATGACCTCTGGGGATTTGCCTGGAAAAATGTCGACATTTATTATTTTTGAAAAAGCCTAGTTTTATATCTTTTCTCAAAGAGCTGTATAATGTATATTCCTGATATAACAAACCAGAATAAACTAGACTATTTTATCTTTCTCATCTCATTAATCATTCTTCAAACACAAAAATATTCATCCATTTAAGACTTGTCTCTTATAGAGTGAAGTCCATAAATTGCTAGCTTGGGAACCCAGCGTTGCCCAGGGTACTCCTGTCGTTACCCGCACTTGGTCGTAAATTACGATTTAACTATTTTCCCTAAACATGCAAATCAGGTCACAACGAAGCATCTCAAAACTTATCTAAGGACATTTACGTGGTTGTCCCGAGTTCCCCATAAAAAAATGTGGCAAATCAGTCAAGGGGCTTCTCAGCTATGATCGGACATGCAAACAAACAAACAAAGATTACTACTTTATATATAGATTATTTAAACGATTCGTGTTGTTCTACAAATCACTATTAAAAATATTTGTACAGCTGAAGTTTTAGGTGGAAAATTATTAAAATAAATTGAATCAATTCAATATTCTTTTTTGTTAATTATGTTAGGTACTTTCCCAAAGTGGCAACTTCTAGCCGCGGAGCTCGGCCCCCTGGTCCGTCCTGGCNACCATTGCAGCCTATGGCGCCTCAGAAGGCCTGACCTAATCTTTGTGAAGTTGCCACTGGGGAAATTGTCAATTAGGAATTCGTTCTTGGGAAAATGCATTTGGGAAAGTACCTAACATCGAAAAAATAAACCCTTATTTTTAAAGACATTTTTTCCAGAAATTCATTGTAAATTCTGCTATTTTTGGGGGGTCTTATGAATATCTATTAACAAATTAAAATGAATCACAAAAAAACGTGATTAAAACAGTAAAAACATTTTTGATATTTTATATATAGATTTTGTTGAATATGTTTCATTTGCCAATAGAATTACGTAAATATGTCCCGATTTTAGCATAATTTTTCACAAAAATTGCAATTTTATGTTGATCACTGAACGTTTAACTTTTTACTATTTTAAACTTAAAACGATCTTCAACCCAAATTTTGAATGTGTAAAACGACAATCATCTCATTTTTTTTAACTCTTCCTGTATATCTACAAATACAATATATCTTTGTACAATATATATATATATATATATATATATATATATATAATTTATTTACCTATCATCTATGTAATAAAACAAGACGTTCGTATATATAATGTTGCGTATAGCCGGCCAAACGGCTGGACCGATTGGGCTGATTTTTTTTGTGGACACTCACACTCATGTGTAAGTTATTTTGGTCAATTTTTTTTCCACGGACAACGCCGGGCCTTTCAGCTAGTAAGTTATAAAACAATATTTTTTTAAGTTAGTTGACAATATAAATACATAACAATATATATACATTATGTTTCGTTATTAATTTTAAAGGTATTACAATATGTTTAAAGTTGACAGTAGAAATACATAAAAATATATGTATATATAAATAATTTTATAGTTATCAATTATAGAGATAGTTATCAATATGTAAAATTTAATCAACAATATGTTAAATTAAGTTAACAATTTTTTTCTACTAATGGAAAGCGGTTGATATCAATTTCAAAAGCATTGGATTCAAAACTGTATTAAATATAGACGATTAATCATAATTAATCGTCCTAAATAGTTTAATCCCTCCTCTCTTGAACAATCTCTTAAATATATTCCATTTCTTCTGACCCCGCTAATCTGAGTAGAAAATAACGAAGATTTCTAATAATAATTATTACTAATCATGAATATTTTTGTCTAGAATATATTTGAGGGAAAATGCAGCATTATGTTACACTTCTTCCTATTCTGCTTCTAGCAGGTAATTTCTGAAAGTGACAACCCTGATTTTTTGTGGCAACCTATAGTACACCTCTGTTCACAGCGCTGCTTTATATAATTAATAGTTTCTTCTTTCTTTTTCTTTGCAACGAAATCCACAAATTGCTATGCTTGAGAAACCAATATAATTAATTGATTTGCTCAAACAAAGGTTTGATTTGTACCGTTGTGTATTGGCACTATAGTTTCAGTAGAAGTTAATATTTTTATTTACTGACAGCACCGATATAAGGATTCATAACTCTAATTGGATAATGAGATAGATAGATAGATGTTACCGCCATACTATTTCTATTGGTTGAGAATAGACACCAAACACATGACGGAACCCTGATTAGATTGGTCGCTAATGGACTCAGCATGCTCCTCTATAAATGGCGGGTTACTTGAAAAATACCTTTAACCCTATCCTATCACAATAAAGGGAGGGGTGGGGGGGGGGTGTGTGTTTTTTCTTGAAAACGGCTGACATTAGAAATTCTAAAACTTCTTCACTTTTTCAACTTCATAGAACAAATTTTAAAGAAAAAAAAATTGCAAAGGGGAGAGTAGAGGACAGTCAAACGGCGGGTCGGATAATAATCAGAAATAGTTAATACCTTTTTATTAATTATTAATTAATTTTATTATTAATTAAATTATATTTTTGTAAAATATTTGTTGTTATAACATATTTGTCAAAATTAAAAATTTTAATTTTGAACATTTTTCCAGCTTACTTTTTTAACTTGAATCCTCCCTTGCACCCAGCCATTAAAACTAGGGGTCTAATTTTTTGTGACTTGAAAAGTTGGACTAGGGACATGTACTACACTTCCCTATCTCAACTCTAAGAGCAATAATCATAGGATACCTCTTCAGATATATCGCATATTTCTTCCTTTATAATGAATGCTGTTTCCTTTAACGAACATGCATTGCGGTATATCATATGCCTAGCTTCCGCCTTCCTGAGACTTCAGTAGGAGGAGGGAGGGAATCCCCGCACCCCATTATCCTCCGCCATGCAGACTTGAGCCTCCCTGATTTGCTAGGCAGACTGAGCCTCCGCCATGTAGTATAAGAACCTCCGCTATGCAGTAGACGAGCCTTCGCTATACAGGACAGCCTCCTTATAACTCTTTTTTATTCAACATGCATCGTGACAAGTTTATTACTGAAGATTAATGTTGTTCATTACCTGCCATGATTTGTATCTTATTGACTCATAAAAGATTAATGTTTGATAATAAAACATTTCTTTTTGTAAATTCATTTCTGAATTGAACTTAGTTTATTTTATTTTAATCTTTGATTTATGCTATAAGGCTCATACTGTATAGCGGAGGCTCTTACTGCATGGGGTAAACTCTTTTTTTCCAGCAAATTTGGGAGGCTTGTGTCTGCATGGCGGAGGATCATGGCCTCCGGGGTTCCCTCCCTCGTAGGAGCAATACATATAACGCGCAAAGTGTACGATGTGTCTAGCTGTAATTACCCTGTAATACATATATCAAACTATAATTACTCCATCGAGTATATTGCACACTCTGGGAGTATCCGTTGTAGAGAAGTCACATCTTATATATCTATCCTTACCGCTTTTGTTGTCATTTCTTGCAGTGAGTACACATGTTAAATATTATAATATATAATATAAAGATTAAGGGGTCAACCTAACTATATTAAGGTATATGTGAGGGTCTAACCTACTATTTTGGAAATGGTTCCCATTATGAAGGTGATGTTGATGACCTAGGCCGGCCAAGCGGTGACGGTCAATTCTTTACAAACCAGGTGAGTTTGAATAAATAACATTAATTAAAAAGTATTTTTAATTCTTTATAAAAACTGTTAACTTAAGTTAATTTCAAGTCTGTTTACTATACTACCTCATATGGTACATGGTACATGGTTACTATACTACCTCATATGGTACATGGTACATGGTTACTATACTACCTCATATGGTACATGGTACATTAATTAAAATGAGTTTATTTTATAGTACGCCGTCTGATTAAGGACGATTTTCTGACACTCAACTTTTAGATAAAAAATAAGGATATCCTCGTTGTAGATGTTCAGAGAAAAACTTAAGGGTACCGTTATGAATCGGATATGCCACTCTAATTCTATTTCATCCTTGATAGATTTAGTGATTATTCCTTTGCGACAAAATGTTTTGGTCTTCGTCATTTCTTTTAGTCTATTTTATTCGATTTTACTGGCATGACTTTGGGAACTCGTGGCTACTCTAGATTTGAAAATAATTAATTGGTTACATAATAATATTTATAAAGCATTTTTGTAAAATTCACTTTAATTTTACGTGGGTTTAAATGATATAATGAAGATTTGAATGTTATATTTTAGTTAAAATATCTCCAATTTATCTGTTATTCTTGCTTTCATTAGTTCAAAGTATTTAATATAATAAATTACTTTAATCATAGATTAATAACAATACAAGTACAACACTTGATGTCGTCTTTTCAAGATTTGGTGGTTATTGTGAACGAAAAAGCCATAAATCTTTAACAGACGACAACTGTATTGTTATTAATCTATGGCTTTAATGTTGAATTCTTGATGCTCTAACTTCAAAGCATATATTTGTGGCAGAAATACAATATGTAGATATAATTTATCATGTTCATGCGGGATCACAAAGGATCAGACTTCAGAGACTATTGTAATTTTGTCAAATTTAATGCAGAAAACAGAAATTTAACCTTGGAATCATCATATTTAAAAAAACTATTTTCAAAATGGCTGATTTACTTTATTCAGGGCACATTGACGTACAACGGTACATTTAGTGCCGGCCAGTACAATGGTACTGGACAATGGTTCAGTAACGGACATAGCTATCAGGTAAAACCAAACCAAACATTTTTAGTTTCTTCTAACTATGATGATAATTAATACACCTAATGTGTTTAGAACTAAAAGCTGCATTTAAAAATTGAATTTATTTAGGGAGACTTTCTTGATGGTGTTGCCGCCGGTTTGGGTTCATGGCTCACGCCTAAGGGGGATGTTGTCACAGGAGAATTCAGGTAAGCATGTGGCGCTTGCGCATATTGCCGCAACTTTCTAAATAACTATCCCTAGATCAAGTAAATAAAAATTTATACGAAGTGATACACTTTTCTAGGATTTTTTGAGACAAAATCATTTGGAAATTTATTTCATTCATTTTTGAGAGAATTGTTATTCCGCAATTTTACTTTTAATATGAGAATACCCGGGCTAAAGTCATAAAAAGTTTTTTTAGGAACTGTACACTTAATTTCTAGTGACCCTCCATGGCAATTTTCCGCATATTTCTAAATAAAATATGATTAGTGAATTTTAGAATAAATGCAGACTATGTGCCCAATAATCAAAGTTTTTCCATATCTGAATATAAAATATGGTTTTCAAAAACCTTGCTCTAAAAAAGTATCTGATTTAGTAATCACACTGTCCATGGAAATGCAACTTGGTGGTTTTCAAACGCAATTCCTAGACTGGAGAAGATGGCTGGAACCTTTAGGTAAAAAAAATCTCTAATTTTTCTTATTAAAATGTCTTATTTCTTCAGAACGTTGAAAATCATATAGTTTACTTTGTTAGCAATTGCATTTTAACGATGTTCGCTTGAATTCAACCATGAATTCATTAATTGAATGAGCTCCCATAAAACGTGATAATTAGCTTAATATATCTTTTGTTTATTAACACAATTTGCTGGTTAAGCTTTCATGATTCCAGTCCTAGACCAATCTTTTTATAGAGGCAGAATTTAAAGAATTCCGTGTCATGTACTGCCAAAAACCGGTTCCACTTAAGTACCGGCTCAAATCTCAAAACACAGAATACAAATTTCACGTGGAACCAAACATGTTTGAGCCGCCAATTAAAAATCTCTTTATACTTAATTGAAAAGAAGGCTAAAATTTTGCAAAAATGTGACAAATTTTTTGATTTCGTTCACATTTTTGTTGGCTGAACGAAAATTTCGCAAAAGAGATTGAAACCCTACTGTGGAGCTGGTTTTATCTGTAAAATAAAACCCAGTACAAAAGTTCCAGTGTTCTTTAATTTAAATTTTATTATTCTCTAAACTGTTTATGTTTTGATACAATAATTACTCAATTTTGTAGAGTTTTGTAATAGAATACATATTCCCCTAAATCAAAATAAACTGTAAATAAGCGGACAGCATATTTTACAATATTTTGACTATCATCTTATTAAACAAATTTTTTCAGTGTCAAGGAATAAAAAGTACAATAACAAAATAAAGCTACTCCAGAACTTTGCTGGCAGGGTTGCATATTAAAACTAAAATGGAAGTGTTTTTAAAAACATGGATTTGTTGATTTAGAACTTTGCCCACCCTGGCATGTTTTAGTTCAATATATTTATATTGCAGAAATGGATTAGCCCATGGAGAAGGCGTTGTCATATTTAAAGATGGTTCAAGGTAAATTTAGTGCAAAATTGAAATAATTTTGGTGGTAGAGCTGGCACGTTTGACTTTTAAATTTTCTATATACATCGTTCGTGAACGACCCATTTCGTTTATTTTCATCCGTTCAAAAAAAAAATTTATTTTGTTTGTTCTCAAAATTATCGTTCATTTTCCATCTATTTCCTTCCTTTTCTCGCTGAACGATTTTGGAAAATTAATTTGTTCGGTAAAAAAATAGTATTTTTCAAGTTTGTTTCTCTGAAGGATCCATTTTGTTCCTCCATCGTTCTTTTTTTCTGAACAATACCCTTTTGCACAAAAAATTTTATTCCTTCTCAGAAGTTTTGTTTGTTCAAAAAAGTAATGCCCATTTCTATTTGTTGATGGTTAGTTTACTTTTATCACTATGAAAACCAGCCAAAGATTAGGTTTTATCAGATACAACATGTCTGCAATATCAAGATGGGAATTAATTGAAAATGTTTGAATTATCTTCGATTGACGTAGATTTGTACCATGTACAATTACTGTAGAGTAATCCATTTAAAACAATTTATATTGACATTTTAAGTTTTGTATGTCATAGGTGATGGTGAAAACCTTTTATGTTTCAAACAGAATTCATAGTTTAAAATATCTAAGGTCTCCACCATTGGTTTGTAAAGATATATGGGTTAGAATTGTGGGAAACACTGAATTTCTTCAGATTTAGAATAAGTTCCTGATTTAGAGTGTGTTCCAGATCGTTCTTTTTAACCAATTAACATTCGTTCCACGTTCGTTAATTTATAGATCTTTCTAATATTTTTAAAAACATCTTCTATGTGTTCATTCTTTTTTTTAACAATGGCATCGTTCCTGATAATTCTGTTTATTCCCGCCAAAGAACGATCGTTCCCTGGAACGACGCCCAGCCCTAAACATACTAAGCTCTAATCTTATACCCATTTTTATATTTCTTTTCAGTCTATTTATAATTAGTTCTTCTGCGAGTAATCTATTAATCTAAATTATTTAATCTTTTAAAAAGCTAGTTAATGATATCTTCAAGGTTCCTTAAATCATCATTATGCGGACCCAGTCAAAACTAGATTTGTTCTGTTTTTAAAACTCGATCTTAAAGAAAACTTTTACAATGACAAGACCCGACTTCTTTTTAAGTTTTTACAACTAAAACAGAGCGTTGGTCTAAAGCCAGTCATCTTTATTATCTATATTTTGGATCTTCTAGGATTTTTAACTTTAAGAAACCTGCATAAGTCTTTTGTAATTCAAAACCAAATTTATCAGTTTTTCTCATGAAATTTAGCAAAATTCTGTTCAATCTTTTAGGTTTATATCTTCTGATAGAGTCAAGATTTTTCATATATATATATATAGACCTCGCTGAAGATTGGTCCATGTCAATTGGTCCATGAAACATTGTGCATGAGGATATCTATCTTTTTTTTTTGATTGAATAAATAATTTAAATGCACCATTTTAACAGAAAAATCAGCGGAAGTCTGCGTTTTTGGTGACTTAAGAGCAACATATATTAGTAAAAATTGCTATTTGAAAAGGTTTTGAAAAATGATCATTTCATTTTGAAAACTATGAAGAAAAAACGAAAAGCGAAACGATAGTTTTTTTTTGAATTTAGTAAAGATGACTTCACAAGCTAATCTTACAAATATGATAAATGAAATGATATTAACAAACTATTCCAAGTCCTGCCAATTCCAAAATGTGGTCTGCCTTTACTATGCGTTTGTAATTACCAGAGATATATATGTAAAGAAATCTGATTAACTGTCAATTAATTTCGGGACTTTCTGGTTATGATTGTATCATTATTTAAGACAATTTTTATGCTTATAATCTTAATCTTGATTATCATCGTTGTTGTTGTTATCACCATTTTCAATATCATTTTTTTATGTACACTGTATTTCCGCCTCCTAAAATTTAAATCCCTTGTAAGGATTTCTAATTTTATCTTACTTGTTTAATGATTTGTACACGGCCTTAAAACATTTATCATTCCTATATAAGAAAGGAAAAGTGTGTGCCTAAGGTACCAGGGTCATTTCCATCCAGAGTTCCTTACTTAGTAAGTTGTAGGAAAAGGATCCTGGTACCTTGGCAATTTCTGGTTTTTTTTACAGGTTGGAGAGCAAGTTTAAGAAAGGATATCCCCACGGTGTGGGAAAAGTGACAGATGACGAGGGGAGTCTGATCTGGGACGGGATCATCTGGAACGGGAAGCCGATGGGAAATGTCTCAGAAGATATTGAAAATCTGTTCCTAGATCTCAACCTCAATCCTCTTCGGCTTAAATACCAGGAGACCTAATATTGATTAGTTTATCTTTCCACAGACTGGTCAAAGAATCAATTTCTAACCAGTCAGTTGGTCAATTTTGTGTCCATGTTTTAATGAATTTATATGAAATTTATAAGTCGTCTGACCAGTTTTCTGATAATTCTGTCATTTTTCTGACCATTCAATCAGTCTGTCAATTTCTGACCGTTTCATCAGTCAGCCAGTTTCTGGCCATTCCATTATACAGTTAACTTCTGACTGTTTTATCAGTCAGCCAGTTTCTGAGTATGACCGTTTTATCAATCATTATTTTGACCATTTAAATAGCCAGTTTTCTGATTGTTCCAGCAGTTAGTTTCTGACTGTTCTATTGGTCAGTTATCTGAACAGTTTATTGGTCAGTCTACAGACAGATTTTTGTTCAGTCTGTTGACTGTCTATTGGTCAGTCTGCTGATTGTTCAATTATCCAGTCTGCTGACTGTTCAATCAGTCAGTCTCCTAACTGTTGAAATGTTCAGTCCGCTAATTGTTCAATCAGCCAGTTTGCTAACTGTTCAATCAGCCAGTCTGCTGACTGTTCCATTGTTCAGTCTGCTGATTGTTCTATTGGTCAGTTTGCTGCCTGTTCTATTGGTCAGTCTGCTGACAGTTCTATTGGCCAGTTTGCTGACTGTTCTATTGGTCGTCAGTTTGCTGACTGTTCTATTGGCCAGTTTGCTGATCGTTGCAATGGTCTGTCTTTTAACCGTTCTATGGTCCACCTTTCCGTCGAACCAGTGTTACATATTTTTGCTAACAGATACAGTTGATGATGTCTATTTCATGGTTTGTGGCACTTTTGAATTTTTTAGGATGAAAAGCACAATGCATCAGTAATCAGTATGGTTTAGCAAAAATTACCGTTTATCCATTTTTTCATTCATTAATTTCATTAACCATTGGAAAGTTGTCAAAATTGTAAGGGGAATGATACCGAACTTTTTCACCAGCTTACAAATGCGTCGCAAATGCCAGATAAGAGGCACCTTGAATACCAGATGAGATATAACTTTCATGTGCAATATGAGAGAAAACTCTTATATGTCAGATGAGAGATGACTCTGATATACCAGATGAGATATAACTCTTATATGTCAGATGAGAGATGACTCTGATATACCAGATGAGATATAACTCTTATATGTCAGATGAGAGATGGCTATAATATACCAGATGAAAGATAACTCTGTCAGATGAGAGATGACTCTGATATACCAGATGAGATATAACTCTTATATGTCAGATGAGAGATGGCTATAATATACCAGATGAAAGATAACTCTGATATGTCAGATGAGAGATGACTCTGATATACCAGATGAAAGATAACTCTGATATGTCAGATGAGAGATAACTCTGAAATACCAGAGGATAGATAACTCTGATATGCCAGCTGATATTTGATCTGTCACACATTTGACTGAAAAAAAAAGAATTTAAAAAGGTAATTGAGAATCGATTTAACAACCCAATGTCAAATGAAAAAATGATTGAATAGAATGAATGAATTAAGCACACCTAAGGTTGGAGAGCGGAAAGGTATTAAACAGTACAAATTTGTCTTTTTTATGTTTTATATATTCAGACTTCAAAGTTAAAATATGATTTTGAAGATTAGTTTAGCAACATTTTTATATGAATGTAAATATGATATATTATATATGTTATATATAACATGTTTTTCAATTTTATATTTCCTTTTGAATATTTTGATATCGTATACAAGATGTTTACAGTTTTAAGTAAATGAAATAAAGTTATTAAAATAAACAGAGGAAACTTTGTGATATTTTGAATTATACTTGTAACCATAGATTAATAACAATACAGATAGAAAACTAAATGTCGTCTTTTCAAGGTTTATGAGTTTTTCGTTCACAATAACCCTGAGGAAGAAGCCCAAAGGAGTTAAACGCTGCGTTGAATGACAAGACAGAAAGACAGAGAGAGAGAGCATGCGCGTATTCCTTGGGCTTCTGCCTCCGGGTTTATGATACGAAAAACCCCTAAATCTTGAAAAGACGACATCTAGTATTCTATTTCTTTAGTTATTAATCTATGCTTTGAACATAATGTTGATGAAGGAATGCCGCAAATTATTCTTAAAAATTAAGATAATCTTTAAGTTGTACCTCAGCGTGCGATCCTAAAAATGTCTGAAACAAACTAAATTAGATGTATATTAATAACGCCCCCCCCCCATTGTTATGTTTTACGGAAATAATTGCATCATGAAACAATTTTTTTCTTACGTTACTTGATATATATATATTGCCCGTGTGGAGAGAAAGGGATGAGAGGATAGATGGATGGAGGGATAGGATAGAATGCATAAATAGCCATCAAATTTATTTGTTCCCAGGGGATAGATTTTCTATTAGAATTCTGATTAAAATATACTGATCTACTACCCTAGAGACAGATACAAATAAATCTAAATCAAGGTAAAATGATTATCATGAATTGGTTAAGTTAACAGATTACAGGGTGATCCTCTAAGATTGAGAATTTAATGACGACCTGAAATGTAGCGACCAGCAGATAAAAGGACTGTACGATAAATGTCAAGTGACCCTCCATGCAAAGATGGCGATGTCTGATGTCATTGGTAGAGGCTGGTAGCCTTGAAACCTCTATTAAAAAATTAGAAGATACCCTCGTTCTTCTGGCTCAATAAGTGTTTAATTCTGATTTCTCTAATACTTCTTATAAGCAAGAAATGCGCATTGCACAATTGTCACTTTTTCAAAGAAACTGCAATTGAAAATAAAGACTTACAGTTTCTTAAATGGTTAATTTAATCATTTGATAAAATAAGTTGAATAATTGTGAACTCAACCAAGGGTTTATCCATGTACATAGTATCTTATATGTTCATTGCTCCCAGTCGGAGAAATGATGCATTACAATTACAAACTAAGAATAAAGTCAAACAATCCAGATTTTCAGTCCAAAAGGGTATCGAACTCAGAGTATGTTTGCAACCTTAAATAAATAATAGTGTAGGTGAACAAGCGTATGAAACCCCCTTTCTTATCTAGAGATAGCAAGTGGGTCTTGTATAAAGGGTGGTTTAAAATCATTGTGGAGAACGGAGTTAAATGGCATTTATTTTACCGGCAAAGAAAGCAGATCCTTGCCCATCTTATCCACGGGGTCCCCTAGGACCATATGGAATAGAATATATATATATATATATTCTATTCTCTATGCCTAGGACTAGTCAGTCAGCACAAAGCATCTGATCAGAAGAGTTGAATGGATATATATTCGCCCCAGTCAAATGTAATATGTACTTAGATCAAGTTTAGTTGGTCTAACACCAGGGGGATGATAGTTCTATACCTGTGTGCTCAGCTAGCTGTGCTCACGTGGATTTAACGGTTCTGTCAATATTCCAGAAAGCTGTGACTTTCGACCACAATTTGAACCATTAATCATAATTTGTTAGCCTTTTTTTTAGATACTTTTTTGTTGGCATATGCATTTTGAATAAAAATGTATAAAATAAACAAATCCGTAAAGTAAATGATTATTGAATTAAAGACCAAAACACGTTTGATTTCAAATTGAAGAAACCGAATGCTGCTCACTCTGGTTAGTCTGGTGTGTGCTTTACACTTAAAACTGTTTACTAACAATGATATAATATAGGTTAGGCCAGAATCCCCTTATAATCGGTATAGTTTATGGCCTGTAAAAAGGATTAGCGTACATCATCACTCTATACACTATAACCTCGTTGTCTAACACTAATCGTTTGTATCGTTATAGTGTAGAATATAGTTTGTGTCCAACCATGCTTTGTTATTCCACTCAATCTTGGATTCTTTTCATGTCTATATAGTAATCAATGTAAAAAATCTCCAAAGTTTTATTCTAAATGAGTATCTCTGTATTATCGACAGATGGAAAAGGAAAGAGCTTCAAATTGTATTTCAAATGTTTTGTTTGGTTGGCCACCCTGTACATATGTAGCAAGGGGTTTATTCTGTCTTTTCTAATATAATTTGATGAAAAATACAGGGTGTCCCATGAAACATGACAGTTAAGAGATAAATAAAATGCCCCCCCCCTCCACCTGGTTGTACGGGTGTCCCGATGATCATAGGAACGTAATGACGATTTTTTGCCAGTTATAAATTTACGGATTTTCAAATCATCTTTAACTTCCCATGTTTATTGGAAAACCCCATGGGTGGCTGCAGAGTTACAGTATAAGTTTGTAATGGGTTTCTGTAGTATATTCTGAATAGACTTCCTCCTTATACACTTATATAACAAGATAAAAACCACAGTCTTAATTTTATCAGCATACAGAAAAGCTTTACTAGTCTTAGCTCAGCGGGAACTATTGGCAAATACTCAAAATAAGAAGACTTTTATGGAAGAGAAAAAAATTGTATAAAAGCATTTAAATTCAATTTTAAGTGATTGACTCTCCTTTTGTATAGATTCGTAATTGATTGACTCTCCTTGTATAGATTTATAATTGATTAACTCTCCTTGTCTAGATTTATAATTGATTGACTCTCCTTGTATAGGTTTATAATTGATTGACTCTCCTTGTATAAATTTATAATTGATTAACTCTCCTTGTATAGATTCATTTTGTATCTGTTTTAGTAATGGCCGAATTCAGCAGAATTAAATACTTTTCAAGCTGTTTTAATAACTTTATTTAAACCATTTACAATATTTATCACAATTTTCACACCTGTACACTCCAACTATAACACCTAGCCAAATAGAATAGGTGCATGATTATAAACCACCTTCCTTCATTCTAATGTACATTGTTTTTTTTTGTCTAAACTGTTTATTTTCGTTAATGGTTTCTCTGCAAAAGAAATTTGTGCATTTAAAAACATCAAAATATATAAGAATAAAAAAGTTTCATTCAATTTCAAACAGAAAAAAGAACGAAAGTTTTTAAAATACATTTTTTTTGGGGATTCTGTTAACTGTTATTTTTTATTCGAAGTTCACGACTTTTGCCGTTTGTTAACGAACTCGACCGTTACCGTAACCAACAAAAACACACTCAAAGCTGTGTTCTATGTGCCTAAAAAAGTTTATTCAAGATGCAAAGAGAGAACGAGAATGCTTGAAATAGAAAAACCACGTTTAGTTTCAACTTCAAACAGTCCAATGAACGTGAAGAAGTATAAACAGACCCTTTTTCCTTAATAAGTGAATTAGTAAGTTGCTAGTGTATTGATATGCTTTATAATAACATCAAATACCATTAATTGCTTTAAGGTCGTCTTCCTCTTTCAGAGTTTTTGGTTTTTCGCTGTAAAGTAAAAAACACTCAAAATTTTCTCAATATTTGACAATGCACATTGACAATGCACATTGACAGTAACATTGTTATTGAAGTTTTATATTTCTACCTAGAGAGACAATTGAAATAAGTTTATTTATATTGGAAATATCTTGCTGAATTTGCTCCAACATTCAATCACACTTTTTCTAATCAAAGGTTATTAAAAGACGGCCATGGGCCAATGGGTTCAAACTTCACATGTACAAATAATACAAATAAACTATTCACATACATTCAATCAACATGTTTTTATAATTCTCAAAAATTCCCTAAAAGCAATGAAATTCAGTGACAAATTGGAGATCGTCTTTGTAGTGAATTAGCATTGTAATACCTAATTTCAAAAGCCATAATATTATTATGTCTGCTAGAGTTTATTTTATGAAAAGGGTAAAAGATGTGTCTAGTGTCTACTGTCTATAATGTCTCCGCAAGATGAACAGTTAAGACGGACAAGTTTACTTTGTTTGTATAATTCAATTTTCTTGTTTTACTAAGTACAACCGTATGCAGTCAAAACATAAACAAACAAATGTGAACATAGTATACAAAACTTTTACAGATTACAGCTTTCTCAGTAGGTATCACTATATTAAATCAAAGAATTATATAAAAAGACGATACAGAATTCCTCACTGAATTCCCATGTTTATTGGGACACCCTGTATGTTATCAATTGTTACAACTGCTACATAAAACCGAAAATTAACCCTAATCATCGAAAACAGGTATTTTTTTCAGTGATCTGTTTCTTCAATCTTTGATTCTTTTTAACGTTTCTTGTATATTTTCTAAAATTTTATTGCAAAGACGACATCTGAAGATATTTCAAGAAATCTGCAAACAAATTTCTAGATGTCGCAGCAATTCATCAGATTCTAGTTAATTTCATCAAGATTTATGAACTTGGCTCAATAGTCTTGAATCATTTGGGCCGGGAGAGAAAAGTATAAAATATTTGATCAATCTCAAGGCAAAAGATCTCGAGTTTAGTAAAACCAGGATATCAAGGATTGATCTCGATATCCACTATTCTAAATGTTTTACTGAACCTGGAACCTGGAAATTTTTCAAATTAACTGAATAAAAAAACGGAATTTTCCGGTTTACAGAATGGAACCCAGAAAGTTTTCTGGATTACAGAATGTGAATTGAATTTTTCTGGTTTATTGAAGGGAACCTAGCCATTTTTCCATTTACAAATATGAATGATCTAGATTTAAACAGTTTTTAGTATCTCACAGTGCTTAATTTCAATATAAGCAAAAAGTTAATTTTATATCAAGTGCATTCGATTAAACTATGAAAATTACTGAAACAAACATTAATCTGCAAATCCCATATCTAATCAGGACACTTGACTCTACAGCATATAAAGAAATATACAAATTCATACAATTGCAAGTATATTTTTGTTGCTCTGAGTTAAAAGGTGAAAACTCTTAATGTTTTGGTTTGTAAAGTATAATATAAAAATACACTAATATGGTCTCATATAATCAAAATGTTTACTTTCACAACCAAATACTTTCTGTTGATACTAGGGTTTTCAGCGAAATGAAAAATCGTTTTGCATTTCGTTCTCTCGAGAAAACTGCAAAATTTCGCGAAAAAACAAATACAAAAATTTTTGGGGAAAGTCGAAAATATTGCGAAAAAATACGGAAGAGAAATTATTAATTACGATATAATGCAACTTCTAATGCTGAGCTTCTGAGCAGAGTATTTTCGCAAAAGTAGGCAATTTTTTTCTTATTTCAATTCTTGAAAAAATGCGAAATTTCGCGAAAAAGTTTGCAAATAAAGATCGAAAATTTTTGCATTTTTTTTGCGAAAGTTTTCATTCGCTGGAAACCCTATAATCCAGATAAGGGGACATTTTCTCTGTAAAACCATTTCAATCAGATTGACGTCATGGTCGGGATATTAACTCATGTTTTTGCAGGACCAAAATTATGTTCGCTCAGTTATTTGCCATCGTCTTCGCTCTGCTGGCTAAAAATGCGCATGCAGAAACATTTGCCTCAAAGCTTTCAACTTTCAAAAATGAAACGGTAAGCATTAAGCAATGAGGGGATGGATTTCACAACATAAAGTGATTTAAATACTCAGAAGCTGCAAATTAGTATCAACTCCAGGTTCTCATGATGAACTAAAAAGACTTGAGCCTTAAGAACTGATATTTGTTATAAACAAAGTTTTATAGAGTTGTGTATAATTTTAAACCAATTACTTTAACAAAACTTTAAAAATCTGGGTTTAGTTTAAGGGTTAGAGTTGAGAACCAAGGTATATAGACCAAAGACTAAACTTTAAAAATTGGCCTCATCTCTGATCTTTGAAATAATTTGTTACATTTTTTTTAAACCTAATTTTCCAAGTTTGATTAATTAAAAAAAATGATTTAAAAAAAATTTTGTCCGTCTTTTTTTGTGCTTTCAAAATGATTAGAGATAAGAAGAACTAGATTTCAATTTACAGTAAAAATATAATTGCATGTTTCTAAATGAAATCCTTCATATCTAAGAACAATATCATTGTATCTAATAATTTTAAAAGCTCAAAAAAAGACAGACCAAAATTTGAAAATTCCAGGCCTAAGGTATTTTGGAATTATCCATTCAAGAATTTTATCAAAAATTAGGTTTTCAAAATTATTTCATAGCTCAAAGAAAATGTTCTTCTGAACTTCTAAAAATTAGCCTGACTTTTGTTCATTGCAATTTACATAATGCTTCTGTTTTGGGGTTTTAAAAATATGCCCAAAAATTAGATACAAATCATATACAGTAGGAGCCAGTAAACTATGTTGAGAAGATGATATTTTGGCAATATTTGAGTGTATTTAATGATTTTACAACGAAAATGGTTTTAATACTCAGGCTCAGAATTTGTGCAGACATTATCTTAAAAATTAAATCAGTTCGATCTTCCCCTCCCCCCATTTTTTACAAATAATGTATCCTTTCTAAAATGACACTTCAATTCTTCTTAACACTTCTCTTTCTCTTCTAACTTCCTTTTTGTTTTAGCCTAATGGTTACATTGTAACTCAAATGACAAAAGATGGTGAAAATTGTTACTGCCGAGTACCTGGGTCTTCATCATCAAGCTCATCGTTCTTTTCTTCCTCTTCTCCCTCAATAGCAGCTGAACAATCTGCTGCTTCTTCAGGAGCCCCTACAGCTGTTAAAGCTGCTTTAGTAGCCACAACTACAGCCACTAGTACAACTACAACTACAACTACAACTACAACTACAACTACAACTACAACTACAACTACAACTACAACTACAACTACAACTACAACAACAACAACAACAACAACAACAACAACTACTACTACTACTACTACCACAACAACCACTATAACAACTACAACTACAACTTCTACAGGAATGGCAACCTCTGTAGGTTCAGGCAGATAGATGTTTAAAGTTTTGCAGCTTCCAATAGTAAGAATTCTTATAAATCAAAATACATGAATAAGAATATGTGATCCTGTAACCATACTCATATCTTAACTTGTGAATCAAACTTCAATAAAAAATGCAAAAAAAAATTGTAATTTGTTCAACCACTTTAATCGTAATTTTTTCATTAACATTTTAATGATTTTACAGCAACTTTTTTTGCTTTCAACTGCTGGTTTTCAGATTTTTGCAGCAACTTTTTTGCTTTCAACAGGTGGGTTTTAAATTTTAAACAACTTTTTGCTTTCAACCACCCACTGCTGAGTATAAGATTTTTCAGCAATCTTTTGCTTTCAATCGCTGGGTTAAGATTTTCAGCAGCTTTTTGCTTCTAACCACAGGGTTTAAGATTTTTCAGTTACTTTTATTCTTTTTGGTTTTAAGAATTTTTAGCAACTTTCCTGCTTTGAACCGCTGGGTTTACGATTTTGAATTTTTTTTTGCTTATAATTCAATCACTGGAAAACAGTTTTTTCTTGAAAAGCGTTTTTGCTTTCAACCGTTGAGTTTCAGATTTTTCAGCGACTTTTTTGCATTCAATCGCTGGGTTTAACATTGTTCAGCAACTTTATGGTTTTAACCACTGTGCTTTATATTTTTCAGCGATGTTTTTTTGCTTTCAAACACTAAGTTGAAAGTTGTAGACTCAAACTTTATCCATTTATGCATGCTCCAGACGTGTGGTAACCTTAAAAAGTCAAATGAGGGTTAGTCCTTATTAGTGATAGGGTCCTTGAGGTTTTTTTAGTTGTAAAGTACATTTTAGCAACCAAATTAGTATAATTTTCCAGGACCTCTTTGGAACAAAAAGTTGTCCAAATCTTTACCATTTCCAAATCATGCTTTATCTCAAATCAAAAAAATAGAATGACTTACGAATTTGGTTTGAGAAATGTTCCATTATTACGAAAAACAATTTTTTAATATTGATTATAGAACAAAATTATGGAAGAAATTAAAGATAAGTTTACCCTTTCAGAGATTACTAAAAGATATTTTGAAGAGTTTTTAAAAGTTAAAATATTCTGATAACAGAACCTTTTTAATGTTTGTGTCCTTTTTTAAGGAAAGCAAATACTGCAGTTTACAGGGCCACAACTAGTGTTTTTTTAAGGGTTTGAAGTTGAAAAAACCCAGAATATTTTAGTAGTTGCATGCATGCCCAGTGTTCGATATCTTTAATATCTTATCGCTTGTTCTTGTGTTTAAAAAAATTATATTTCCAACAGCTGTAAACTGAACAATATTAGTCAATTCGTTGAATGTGTGCGCAAAGATTAAAAGCAAAATTCTGTTCTTCTGAGTTCTTGTGTCTTGTTTTCCCCATTTCAATGGTATAGCTATCGTTTTATCTGCTTCTTTGTGCCAGGGTGCTGGGTACAAGAAATCACAAAAATATTTAAAAATTCTCTGTGTTTTCACCTAAAATTTCTCTTTTTTCGAAATACTCACATTTTGTAGATCATTGACAGATTCTTGTTATAAATCTTGCTTCTTTTCTTGATAAACCATATTTTTACCTTTAATTGGCTGTTTACCAAAAGGTAGACCACTCTCTACTAATTGATCCACCTAACTCAGTTAGTTCTGTTAATCCATTCTCTAAGAAAGGTTCAATTTTTGAAGGCTCTTCTGAAGATATCCCAAACGATAAAAAAGAAGATTAAAAACTTTTACTCACAATCACTGTTTCAGCCATGGTGTCTCAATTAAAATCGAATTTGTTTATTGCTGTCTATGTCTTGATAGCATCAATATATTACAGAGCTGATGCACTTAGATTTCTCATTGACTGCTTGACATATCCAATCTCTATCAGTGCCATGTACATCATGCACACATATCTGAAATCAAGGCCTGTAGCACAGCAAACAGTTATGACTGGTCAAATGAGGTTACTAATATTGTTTGCACTTGTATCCGTTGTCAGAATGGGTGTTCAGTCTCTTATGCTTAACCTCATACAAGAAGCCACTAGAACACTTGTTCAAAATCATCCAACCCTATTCTGCAGTTTGAGCACACCAAGACTGTTTCTCATACCTCTGTGTTTGTTAGTAAACTTCCTTATGTTTACAAAACTGTTTATTGTCTTATATCCTCACCAATTCTTTAACTTAAACCATGATGCTGCAATCAGAGTTATTGCAGGTCTAATAGCTGTAGCAATGATTACTGATGTGGTAGTTGGGGTTGGAATTCATGGTCACTACTGCAACAAGCAGCAGTTGAGTGATTTGGAGATAGTGTTGTAAACTCCGAGCTTTATTTATCTACAGCAGAATTTAAAAGGCAATAATTGACTCTCTTAGTTCATATTTATTAATTCAATAAATGTAATAATTGTATATTTATATTTAGGAGGTTAATATTCAGCATTCAGATCCACCAAGGTCTCAAACGACATCAGGAGCTCCGCCCTCATATTCCGATCATTCCCTCCTTCATCTACAGGTCTCCCAGGCACACCAGCAGCAGGCAGGACCCGAACTACATCCCCATGGTCCTCATGGTCGCCACCCCCTGGGGGTAGGGTGGTCATAATCCTCATGATAGCTTTTAATGACCCTTTGCAGTATTGTTAATCACTTAGCTATTATCTTGTCTAGCTTTACAGAGCTGCCTTATTTAGTTTTGCGAAGCTAGTAACTTTGTGGAGCTATCAACTCTGCTGAACTATTAATGTTGCGGAGTTGTTAGCTTTGTGGAGCTATTAACTCTGCGGAGCTATTAATTCTGCGGAGCTATGTATTGAGTTTAGCTATGCAGAATTATATGTATCCTTGCTTGTATATATAAATATAAATATCTATAACTAGCTATTGATAGCTGAATATATTTATCAGGCTATATTATGTTAATAGTCTGAGTTATGAATCAATATAAACTTGGGAGCTGCACTTAACCTAAGGTAGAAGATTATATCTGTGTATAAGTCTTTCTACTATCAAGGTTCTCTGTGCACTGCCTTCTCTTGTTCAGATTTGTTTCGAGAGCGACGAGTATTATCAATCCGTTTTAGATTTACAACAAAAATCCCCCTGATTATATAAGTTCAAATTATATGTCGGAATTTGTTCTCTTATATTATCATATAATCTATACGGATTATGGCATGACCACTTTTGTGCAAAAATTAATTTATTTTTATATATCCCCCATTTGGTTTTAAAGTTAATAAAATAGAGGTATTTTTCGGAATACCTAGCGTATCCCATTATCTGTGTACGTGTTTTTGAGTTACGTTAGACATTTTAAGGAAATGTCGTCATTAAAATATCTTATTGAGTTTAGAAGAACCTGTTCGAGTCTATTAGTATATAAGCATCGGAAGGTTCTGTTTGAGTCTACGGTGTTGCATAAGACGTAGTCCAATCAGACGCCAGTTTTATATATTTTCTGGCCAATGACACGACAGCGTCTAATATTATGGAGTTTAGGCCCCAAGCAAATTAGTTGACCAATGATATGAGAGTATTTTCGTGAATTTTATTTTAGTTTTGGGTTCTAGACTTCAGTTTTCGGGGTTCTAGACTTGGATTTTGGGTTCTAGACTTCAGTTTTCGGGGTTCTAGACTTAGTTTAGGGTTTCTAGGCTTTAGTTAGGGGGTTCTAGGCTTTATTATTTGCTATTACGCGTTTCCGTGAACTACTTCGGCTATGGTTAGAAATAATTCAGGTAATTCCGGTTAATATTTGGAAATATGTTGTATTATTTTTTATCGATTACAATTGGTCATTTGGATAGTCATAATTATTTGTTCTTCCTTCTTTTCAGACTGTCGGCCAATTTCTGGCGCGCGCTGTCGAAGGCATCTCGGCGAATACCTTGTTCATGTGGTGCTTGATATCGGCGTGTATATACTCTTTTAGCTATGTTAACCGGCGTCTCTTCAGGTACAGACTGTTGGGATTGAGTTATTGCATCATTTGTAATAATCTCATCCTTTATCAATGCATTCGGTTTAGCATATTCTTGGGGTATAATCGGGTTATTGGAAGGGTTCTGGGTTCCCTCTTTGATATTGTCATTTATAACTATTTCTGGGTTAACAATATTAGTTTTAATTATCTCAACTTCATCTGCTGATGAATCTGAGTCTGAAGTATCTATATCCCTTGGTATGTCGGTATTAGAGACACTTTTACCTTTTTCGGTTGGGACTCTTATATCCTCTTCATCATCTTCCCTTTGTAGAACTAATTCTAAGTCGACCTGTTCTCCTACTAGGTTGGAGTATTCAGGGTCTACCTTTTTTAGTCTACTAGTAAGTACGTGCAATTCCCGCTTATTTAATGCCCAGTTTCCAACAGGGTATATCACGCTTAATGATTCGGAAGGGGTTTCTATCACCCTATATGGTCCTGTCCATCGCAAAGTTAATTTCTTGGATAAATTTAATATCCCTTTGGGTGACATATAAAAGACTATATTTCCAACTGAAATTTGGTATTTTGACCGGGGTGCTTTTACTTCAGTCAGCACTGGGATATTCAAAGTCTCATGTTTTATCATTGTGTTATGAATATTATCTATTTTGTTGGATAAATTTGAAATATAGTCAGTCCATTTAAGAGCTTTTTGTAAACGGTTGTCTGGAAAAAACACATCTAGAGGTATTCTTGGATTGCGCCCAAAAAGTGCATAATAAGGGGCAACACCCGTAATTCTGTTCCTGGATATATTTGTTTCAAAAACTGCACTATCCAATTTTTGGACCCATGAACCCGGTATGAAGGTATCATCAGACCTGAGTATTTGTCCAAGTGTTCTGTGTGATCT